GACGAGCCGCAAGGCCGTTACTAAATTTGGAATTAAAGAGGCCTAGAATTCAAGGGAAAAAGAAAGGTCTCATTAACTTTTTATAACTTCTGAGTAATAATAGAGAGAAGACGTGCAGCGTAACAAGTGTGGCATCAACTACTAACCAGTGAAAATTGTATGTATACACGTGATAGTTATCTTGAGCTGTTTGTCTGTTTCAAAGGGAATCGGGTAGAAAATCGAAAAACTAAAAAAACGCCTACGTTCAAAAGTGGAGTCAAAAGACGCATGTCACTAAAAATCTCTTAGAAGAGTAAATTGAAAAGAAAAACGGCAAAACTTATTCAAGTAACACTTTCAAAACGGTCGGGGCAATTAGAACAGCGGCAAAAAAATACAAACCTACCTTTGGCCGCATGTATGCTTGGAAGTAGCGCCTCATCAAAGTACTCCATTGCCATAGAGGATATATCTCGAAGTTCATGAAGAAATTCCTGCGGTCGGGGAATTGCGGGAGAACGTTTTAAAATACAAAACACATGTCGCAGCTCGTCCAAAACTTTCCCCGGAAAGAATGCACAGTAGCCCTCCTCAGTGTAGCGCATAATACTCATGTCCAACAGAGAGACACGTGTTTCAATAGCGGAAAGAACTTCGGATCGACTATAGGAATAGGTAAATGCCATCCAAAGAAGTACCTAGAAAGTGGATGTTTTCGACGTTCAGATTCTCGCCGCGGAAGCTGTTGTTTCAATTCTTTCCTATAACAGAGTATCTGCTCTTCCAGCTGGCGAAATGCACGTTTCAAAATTTCCCTTCCGATGCAGTCAAACAGACGGCAGACCTTTACAATTGGATAAGATAGTCATAGTCTGATTCACCTCTCTCAGTCGACTCACTTCATGGTAAGTCAAAAAAGTAAATATTCGCTCTAAAATCTCTTCCGGTAAATCCATTAAATGTGGCTGATGGACCTCCATGAAGGTGTGGTAGTTGCGGTTTTCAGGAAGCCAAAATATCCTGTAACATAAAAAGAGTAATGTCTCAATCGGATAGCTACTCAGTAAAGCATAACAACAAAATTTCTTAAAATATAAAATTTCGTCCAAAACTACAAGTAATAGGTCATCTGAGCTCATACTTTTGCTACAGAAAATTATTGGTGTGTTTAACGGACGGTCAGCTAGTGTAGGGAGTTCAGGTTAACGGGTTAATGGACAAAAACGGTCAACTCTAGGGCTAACTGACCGAACACTAATACCGCACAAAATTACATGACAAATACGCAGAATTATTGTGATAAATAGTGTACAAAACAAGCAGTCACCAACAACAAAAATGGAATAGAAGTACTAACGTACATCAACGTACTTCCGTACATCTGGAAATACCCGGTGTCCGCCTCTACCTCACAGCACTCAGAAGTACGCACAGACACTAGACGATTACTGAGAGCGGGGCCCAGCATTTTTGTCCCTTACGCACTTACAGGTAAAACAAATATGCTGAGGAGATTGAAGGAGGGATTACCATAGCGATAGTTCAAAACCCGTAGTGCCCATTAATCACATCAAAAGTAATTTACGGATCACTCTATACGCCCTGAATATATCTTCAAGACTGTGACTATGAAATCTTCACAATGAAGGACTGCCATTTGGAAGGTCAGTTGCTTTATTTCAGTTCAAGAACCGAAACTCGCCGACTTAATAAACGTTTTTTATTAAGCCGAGCCTACTGGCCTTGTACGCCAACCGATGAAAGATGCCTACAATGCGGACAGTTTCTACTAGTCACTAAGCGCGTGATTACCTAGAGACAGCAGTCCTCAAAGAGGCACTGTGCCTAGTTATTAAGTCGGACTTATATAAAACGACGGATTCGTAAAACGGATGCTTCGACAGTCGAACTTTAATCAATTTTGCTTAAATTTTGCTAGCCTTTATCACTTCGTCCAAATACTAATGGTCTGTACCGTTCAACTGAAGCTTCATGGGTTAGGGAACGAAAATATTAAACGCTGCTTTTTGTACGTTCGGAATACAAAGAGGCATATTTTGAACTCTAAAGTGTTACATGAAAAAGCTATCACATATAGTAGGTATCGAAGATCCGTAATCAGGTAAAATTGTGGATTCTTATCCGTTCCAAAATGTACTCGGGGTCCGTGGCACCCTGTCAAAGACGCTTTAACGACTTATAATGTCTACCGTTACATCATTTCAGGCAAATTATTTCATGACACACTAAACATCAGCTATTGTCAGTAATACAGTACAGCAGCAGTAGAGTGAAAAAAAGGAGCTTAAATGTAAAATTCCAATAGTCTATGATAATTAAGGCCTGTGTTTTAATGATAAGAATCCTGCAGAATAAAAATATCCATCGAAAAAATGTATTTTGCTCTAAAGAATTATTGGCGCACACCAAAACGCAAGCGCCCACGAGTGGCCTTATTCTACCCCCATGGTCATGGCAATATCCAGTGACGAGTAACTGAACATGCAACTGGGTGCCCATTTACTTCGGTTTTCAGACAGCGGAGCGTCTATGGTTAGATGCAACTAATATACTTAAGTAATAAAAACGGTGAGAAATACTGTTAAATAATTCAACCATCCCAAGCACCGTAAAGTGTCCGGTTCGCCATAGGAAGTTATTGCGGTGATGTCGTTCAATAGCAGAACTGGACCACAGCAGACGCGTCTTCGACCGCGTTCCCAC